GAGCAGAACGCTGATCATTTTATTAAAGATGAAAGACTTTAGACAGTTTTTCAACTCTCAGTAATGCCACAGTGATTGTTTGATATATGGACCTGCAGCGGAGTTTAGGCCCAGACACGGCTAGTGACGTCAGACTTAAAGACCGGATTGCTCAAGACCACTTTAAATTTTAACATTTGAAATTGCTCAGACTCTTTGGAAGCAAAAACTGGAAAAGATGAAGTGGCACAAGACTTTTTTGCAGTACTGTATCAAAAGTGAGTTTTGCTGTCAAAAGGAATTCTGACTCTAAAAAAATATCCAGAGACCTGGAATTTACAGAAAGAGCTCTTTAATGCACAAGAAATAATTCATGAAATAAGCAGTAATCGATCCGGTCTTCTCGTACACAAATATAGCCTGCTCATGCTTAAGTGATAACATGTCGCAGTGAATTCCCGTTCACTCCTTTAAGCTTCGTCTGGTAACATCCTTCAGTCCAGTCACGGTCTTTTAAATGAACGATGGGTTGATTGTCAATGAAATCTTTAAATCCTGCACAGTTGTAAAAAGTAAAGTCAAGCTATTGTTACCAGCACAGACTACTTACCACAGAGCGCTTTAGTAACCATAGAGAGGAATATTTTACTACATCAAGAGCATAAAATACTACTGCTTATGTGAGCTTTCTCTCCAAGAGCTAAGATTTGACAGACATTTATAGCCTTTTACTTCAAAGCCATAAACTACAGGATAATAAGATATAAAGTGGAAATACTACTGAAAATGAACAGCATATTTCTGATCTCCAAAGAAAAACACCAGGGGCTTTCTCCTGATTTACTCTTTTATCAATCAGAGCATTGCTCAGTGCTGTGTAAATTTGTAAATCAAGAGGTCCCATGACACAAAGACAGTGCTGTTTCAACAGCTGAAATGATTCAAAAAGGCTGCAGAACACATCAAAATTAAAGCATCATTAGGGCCCAGCTGTTTAAACTAAACATAGCTTTAAGCACACACGAAGCATCATCCAATTACATTTGATAATCCGGGCAATCACAATCAGTCAAAAATCAGAAAAATACTAAAACTGATGCAAAGCCTGAACTTCATGCTCAGAGAACACAAAAGGCACATGCTATGCACCTTTAGGCGGCCATCAATGGGATTCACCAATAATTCATGTAATCTGAGTTTGATAAAAGATTAAAAGGAGCTGAAATCATGTGTTGCTGTATGCTGCTGTAGGAGTCTTTCCTCAGAGTTTAATAAGCGTCTCCATTTTCACAGATTTAACTACAGCTGACGCGTTTGCAAGTGGCTGCAAGGAATAAACACAATTTGAGCTCCTATTAAAACTTTTCTGAAACCCTGATTTGATTCTGGTGAGCACGCTCATATGTAGCATGAAACTTGTGTTTAGGATCGTGGATTGTGCGCATCCTGTCATGCAAA